TACTCCAGAGTGTTGTTCAGCATGGGGGTGAGTAGAAAATGAAGGCTAATCATGTTTTGGGTGTACTATTCCTTTAAGGTTTATAGTAACCGTTAAACAATAAGAACAAGCGACTGAGCATTAATGGACAAAATCACAGCCAACCAGTAACTATTAAACATATTGATGATCGCAAAAACTTCAGGCTAATTATTCCCTGTATTAAAAAAAAAAAAAACATTTTCAATTTTGTTTCTTTCTTACTCATTGTATGCAAAACATAATTCAAATAGAATTTGTTACGTCTGCACTATTTTTTTTATATTAGCAATAAAACTCTGTTAATTCTTTTCCCAATTTAGTGACTAAATTAATCTAATCAAATCCATTTCTCACTTTCATTATTTCTTCTTGTATTAGTTCTGTTATTATACCAAATTATTCCCTGAATGATGCATAAACTCTAGTATCAATAGCAAACAAAATATTTCACATGTTGGATGACTTAAAATGTCTTTACAGTCACTCCTAAATATTTGCAGCATCTCAGCCGACAGTTTTCTGCATATGAGTCATTCTTTAACTACGGCACTTTTATTTCCTTTGATCATATTTCATGAAAAAAAAGAAAAAAAAAGGCACATTTCACACTTTTATAGTCATCTTTACAATGAAACTGTTTTAGGACAGTTGTTTTGTCTGTGATTACTTTTTTTTCAGCCTCATTTATAGGCGAGTCTGCGCTTACTTTAGGCTACAGTCATTTCCAACATTGTTATATTATAGATTATTATATATTTAATGAAGAAAAACTGCAGCTGATTAAGTCATTTGTTCCAATTTTCAAGGATGCAGTTGGTAAAATGTCATTTTATAAACAGGAATATGAAGGAAAAAAAAGATTAAGATATAAATCTGCAACATAAATAAAAAATTGAAAGAAAAATCAGAAAAAAAAAATAGACAAAATCAGAGAAGGCAGCAAGGTTCCTCTAAGAACTTTTTAGCTTTATATGTTTCTTTCCTGCTCATTATATACAAAACATAATTCAAATAGAATTTGTTACGTCTGCATTATTATTTTATATTAGCAATAAAAATCTGTTAATTCTTTTTCCAATTTAGTGACTAAATTAATCTAATCAAATCCATTTCTCACTTTCATTTTTTCTTCTTCTATTTGTTCTGTTATTATACTAAATGATTCCCTGAATGATGCATATACACTAGTATC